AGGCCGCTGCCTGCCCGCCGGCCTGGCCCTGGCCCTGGCCCTGGCCCCGGCCCTGGCCGCGTTAGTCTTTGCAACCAACCCCCAAGAGGGGCGAAGACACAGAGGTGGGGAACAGGCCGGATGATTCCTCTGGGACACGGGTGAGGCGGATGGTGGTGACCATCCTCGCCTGTGCCACATTCGGCACTCGGCAGAAATTTGGGCTGAAAAAGCTACAGGGCTTTAAGAGTGAATTTGGCAGCAGCCAGCTGTAGGCAAAAGATGCTGTTCTTGCTGCGGGCTGGGGTGATGTGACAACATCCATATGTCGTGCTGCTTTATGATAAGCTCTGAAGCACAGGGTTTGCCAGCTGGTGATTCCCAGAGCTCACTGTCCGCACTGCACCACCTGGAGATTTCCCTTTGCCAAGAAAACAGGAGATTCTGAATTGGGAGCATTTGTCTGCCCATGTACCCCCTCCCCCGTGTCCCATCACCTTGACAGCGTCCCAGCACCAGCCCCTGAGGGACCATAGCACCTCTCACTGCACCAGATATTCAGGCAGACATTAATTTATCCAAGTAGATACTAATTTATCCAGGCAGATCGAAAGGTTTGTGCGATGCTGCTGCCCCCTACAGAATTAGGGATGAGAATCAGGGAACAAATACTTTTCAACGTGGTTTTTTAGTTTTCTTCTCTCTTCAAATATTCATAGTGTGTATAGAGATCCAGTAATTCCCAGCTGGAAAATAGTGTCTTTCTTAATAAGTGGTCCCTCAAACACCTATCTGGTGGTGGTAATCTTCTTTAAACACCTTTTTTTTAAAAAGGAGGATCAATTTAAAATGTTTGTATGTGCATATACATATTCCTGTACTGCAGAAACAGATGGATATGTTAGCTCTTAGAATGAGTTTTTTGCTAGTCTTGTCTGCAAATGAGTCAAGATATGCAGCTAAAATGCAGTATTTTTCATTTAATAACAAATCTGAAAAGTGAGTAAAACCACAATAGCATTGGGTATTATCTTGTGATACCACTCCACTGGCTCAATACTGCACCATGACAATCTCATCTTCTTTCTAAACACTCTCACTAGGTGTGCTTCCAGGAGTTCCTGCTGTCGACTTTGGCTTTCACTGGCAGTACTGCAGTATGTTTGAAAGCAGAAATCAAAGAGGAACCTTGCAACAGCATCATAGCAAGGGCAGGACACTCCATTGCAGGGGGGATGCTTAAGCAGCAGCTGAGAACTGGTGTGTCAGGAATGACAGGCTGCATGTTGTAGTGGAGTCTGGCACTTGAGGGATCGGTGCTGCCGATAAAAGCAGCGGGAGAGAAGATGATTCAGCTGGAGCAGAAGGGAGCACCCCCCCGCACATACAGAGCTCACTTCCCTGTGCAGTGGGATGGCAGGCAAATAGGTTTAGAATTAATAGCTTCACTGTAGTGCAGTCTTATGGCAGGGTAAGTACTGCAAAATCATCGTTCTCTTATTCACAAATATTTTAGGGTATATGTTCCATGAGCTGCTCTTTCTGCCCTTGAGAGGCCCACCAGAGAACATTAAATTCCCACCTGTATTTGCACATCCCCATTTAGTTGCATGCCTGGCCATCTGCTGGTTCTGTGAACAAGGGCTGGAAGTCAAACAGAAACTGTCCTGAATGCTTCTTACATATATGTTTCTCCCATCTACATATCTTTTGCCTTTTGTCTCTTTCAGCAATTCCAGAGAGAATTTCAAAGAGCAAAGATGACATCTGCAGCTCTGTTTCTGGTGATTCAGTCTCAGACTCCAGCCACTCATAACATTAGTTGTGGTAAAAGGGGAAAAAAAGGAAAATCAGTTCTGTGTAAAACTTTACACCTGCAAGAGTGTGTTGTTACACTCTTAAGGATAATATTCAGTTCTGTGCACTAGGTCTTTCCAAGAACCAAGGGCAGATCCTGATCTAAATCCTTAGAACAGGTGAAGACTTTATGCTTAGTAAGATAGGAGTGTATTTCATTCTCAGACATATTCTGCTTGCAGAAAACTTAAAACTGTGCTTGTGTATTTGTATATGCCCTAGTTCTTTTCTAGTGAAGAATTTTCTTTGTAATATATCAGTCTATGCAGCAAAAGGTCAATCCACTGCAAAGTCAGTGGTTTCTGACGTGCTGTGCCTGATGTATTTTTAAGAATGCTGTCCAGAAAGGTAAATGCAGGGTAGTTTCTAGGTTGCATCCACAGGAAATTCTTGTGTTTGATACAAAAAGAACAGATTCTAACATTGGGCTGTATTTTTAAATTGTTGGCAGAATTCATTGGGTGTAAACAGAGGACAGTCTGTAAACAGGCTGGAGCAACGGTCTAAGACGAACTGTAGGACTTTCAATAAGGCCAAATGCCGGGGGCTGCCCTTGGGCCACAACAACCCCCAGCAGTGCTACAGGCTTGGGGAGGAGTGGCTGGAGAGCTGCCAGTCAGAGAGGGACCTGGGGAGGTTGATTGACAGCCGGCTGAACAGGAGCCAGCAGTGTGCCCAGGTGGCCAAGAAGGCCAATGGCATCCTGGCTTGTGTCAGCAATAGCGTGGCCAGCAGGGACAGGGAAGGCATCTGACCCCTGTACTCGGCACTGGTGAGGCCGCCCCTCGATTCCTGTGTTCAGTTTTGGGCCCCTCACTCCAAAAAGGACATTGAATGACTCGAGCGTGGCCAGAGAAGGGCAACGAAGCTGGTGCAGGGTCTGGAGCACAGGTTGTACGAGGAGAGGCTGAGGGAACTGGGGGTGTTTAGTCTGGAGAAGAGGAGGCTGAGGGGAGACCTCATCGCCCTCTACAGCTCCCTGAAAGGAGGTTGCAGAGAGCTGGGGATGAGTCTCTTTAACCAAGTAACAAGCAATAAGACAAGAGGGAATGGCCTCAAGTTGCATCAGGGCAAGTTTAGACTAGATATTAGGAAGCATTTCTTTCTAGAACGGGTTGTTGGGTGTTGGAATGGGCTGCCCAGGGAGGTGGTGGAGTCCCCATCCCTGGAGGTGTTTAAGAGTCAGGCTGACATAGCGCTGAGGGATCTGGTGTAGTTGGGAACTCTTAATGTTGGGTTAATGGCTGGACTGAATGATCTTCAATGTCTTTACCAACCTAGATGATTCTGTGATTCTGAGGACAGTAGAGTGCTAGAGGAACCCTGCCTAACAACCTTAATGTTCCAGTGAAGGTTTTTTGAAAATAATTTTAAAATGTGCTATCTTTAATAGTGTCTGATAATTTATTTTTCTCCAAAATTTTATAGGTGTTGGTAAAAATCAAAAGAACTGCTTTCACCATAGAAGATGGAAAGCCAGTTCTTTACAGAGCTGGCAGGTCTTTGCCTGCTGAAAATTCATGTGTTCCTAAAACAGCTTGAGGATAATATCCTATGCTCATTTTACTTTATTATCATTGGATATTTTCATTTCCTTGAGTTTGCTAGTTTGGATTGGAAAATAACTCGTTTCACCAAAAAAAGAAAGAATAGAAAGGGAAAAAAAAATAGTAAAAATAAAGATAAGTAAAATAAGTCAGTTGAGTGTCTGGTAATTGGTTGAGATTTCATCTCTTCTTGCTGGTGCTTTATCTGAGTGTATGAGATGCTTATTCCTCAAGGAACACCTTTTCAAATACACTGTCAGTTATGTTAGAATGTTTAGTCTTGTAAACAACATGTAATTAAATACAGAAGGCCCAAGGTTGGATATGTCTTAGTCCAAAACTGGCTAAATTTTCCTTAAATTTGTTAGGTTTTTTCATCTGCTAAATAGTCCTTTACAGTAATACACATAGTATGATGAAATGCCCTGAAAGAAGACATTATGCTTGTTTTAAGTTAATTGCTAGTGGATCTTACTGAATGCTACTCCCTGTTTACGAAAGCAGCAGAGGTTATTAGACCCTGAGGATCAAACAGAAATTGCATCACATGGATGAAACTGACTTTGAAATGCGGAGCTGACCCAGACTAAATTGCAAATTTGGTATGTACTCTTGGCTCTCCTCATATCAGATTGAGTTTTACATCAGATTATCAGATTAACAAATATTTTTTGCATAGTTTTGCAAAAGTAGAAATGAAGTAATTCTGCGCTTTTTCCTATTCAGAAGAACTTTGCATCTCAAACCATGGAAACATTGCATTTGCTCAGGTGAGCTTCCCAAATCCTCCCTCTGTTCCTACGTTCTGTTTTAATAACTTCTTTGGCAAAGTCCATAATCCCCTGTTGATGGGGGAACCTTTTGGGGAAACACTGATCTGCCCCAGGGGACCTAACTCAGCAGGAATGGTTCTCTCTGATCATAGTGAAACCTTTCCAACCTCTACACCTAGGTTTCCTTTTCACAAAAGCTGCAGCTAAGGGAAAAATGAGTTTGTGTGCACCTGTGTCCTGTTGGGAGTGAGGATATGGACACATCCAGACAAAGGAACTGGTATCATGCCAACATCCGGCCTTATGGCCAAAGCTCATAATTCTTTGCAGACAAGGATCTGCATAAGACAGAATTCACAGCGTTTTGTCTCCTAGCAACAATAAGAATTCAGGGTCATCTTAGCTAGGTTGTGTACTCTTTTTTTGGCTACTCCTAGAAATGGGAACGTTTCAAAGTAAAAAATAAATAGCAAACAACCTATACTCAAATGAGTAACACAAAAAAATACACTCAAAACTATGTGTCATGTTTCCTGTCTTGCTGTAAGTCTTTCTAGGCTGTTCTTGACTACGTAACTTACCATATTTAGTAAGTAGTTTTGCAGGGTATAATCTTTTGCTGATGGAGTGCCCTACCACTTTGTCTCTGATTTCTTTTATCCTACAAACAATTTGAAAAATTTAACACATGAAAGCATTTAAATTTTTAGTTACTTTATATACCTTACATTTCAAAAGTAAAATCATGAGCCCTTTTATTTGTATCTTTAATAGATATCTAAGTGAATGGTTGCAAGTCTTATGCCTTTTGGACTTGCTTCAGAAGAAAGGAAACATCTGTTTATATTCATGGGGCTTACTCCATACCAACTAAGGACCAGCTCCAGTTACACTGATATACTCAGAGTACCTTACCTCATCTGTATTGCAATTCTTTTCACACCATTTAGGACCAAAATCTGAATTAAGCACATGTGTAAGTCTTTATCTAACTATACCTTCATGGTTTCTCCCATTGAAATGAAAGGAACACTTCATGGTAGCAAAGATAAACACATGCATCCATCTTTGCAGTGTGTGGGCATAAGAACTAAGATTAGTTATGAAGTTATACACCAAGATATTATTTAGTCAGTGTGTTTGATCCCTAATGCTATGCAAAAATAAAAACATCTGAGTTTGAAGTCTAATGAATGTATCTATCAAAAAACCCCCTGTAGATGCATAACAAAAAAATCCCAAAAGAATTTGAAGCTACATGAAAGGAGCGCATTTTCATTAAGAATGAAAACTCAAGGCTCTATAAAGTAAGTGATCTCAGTCTTTGAAAGGAGATATTACAGGAAGAGAATATATTTGTTTTCCTAGTTCTGACTGGGCTTTTGCTTTTGCAAGATGAAAGTCCACTTGTCTTTCCTTGCGTATTATTGATCTTTGCCTAGATTCTCACAGAATTTTGACTTTTTTCATCTAGGTTTTAAGGCCAAGGTCTTTGTTCAAACACTGTCCCCCCACAGAAAGTAACTGATTTTACTGAGCCTTTTAAAAACACAGCAGTCTGCACAGATTTTTCTTTCCACAGTTTGTCCTTCAGGGGATGGTGAAAAAAAATATTTGCAACGGTATGTACCTTCAAGGACTGATAGAATTTGTGCTAAACTGTAATTTTTCTTCCTGTCTGTACACTACAGCATCTATAGTCTGCTACTAAAGAAACCTCTAATTTTAGTATGAAAACAAATGAAAGCCAGAGCACTTGCAGGGTTCTATCACATTTGGTGGCCAGGAAGAGAGAGACGAGATCTGCATGCAGGGACTTCTGTGGGGTCATTTCATAGAATCATACAATAAATCACAGAATGGTTTGGAAGGGACCTTCAAAGATCACCTCGTTCCAACCCCCCTGCCATGAGCAGGGACACCTTCCACTAGACCAGGTTGCTCAAAGCCCCATCCAACCTGGCCTTGAACACTTCCAGGGAGGGGCATCCATAGCTTCTGGGCAACCTGGTCCAGTGTCTCACCATGTTCGTAGTAAAGAATTTCTTCCTTTTATGGTTATTTACCACTTACTGGTAAATAACCAGCACTAGCTGAGTTTTTGTGGAACTGCACTCATGACTGACTTGTCTCTTAAGATTTTCATTTTAAACAGCTCAAACCACTGATGGTTTTCTATAGGTGACAACAGTGTTAAATCTGAAAGATAAACTCATTTGTGAACATGCTGAGGTTTGAGATTGAGCTCATATTGCCTTCATGGCAATACCTGATTTCAAACACCCTTGCACTGAACTGCTACTGGTGATGATGCAGAGATGGGGCTGGTGCTGAGCAACCCATGGTGCCTCTGGGATGCCAGTGGCAGCACCCCCATCACCCTCTGCTTCAAGTGGTTTACTCAAAGATCATACCCAGTGCTCTGTGGTGTTTAAACCTAAGTTGGGAAGCTGGCCATATGTTGTTGGTTTTATTCCCTAATTAGCTCACCATCACATAGCTCCTCTTCTTACACAAACCAAGTAAGCACATGACACAACCTGGTGCATGTTGAAGGCTTCCAGAAAACCTCTTCCCGTACCATCAGCTTCAGTGCAATGTACCTGTAGGAATCCGGTCAGGGAAGGGGCTGGAGTCTGCAAAGAGCAGAACAGGGTCCTTCCCTCTCCCTTTTCCAACCTATGACCATGTCTAAGGTATGCCCAGCAGAAGACCAAAGGATTTTTATCTGTTGTGAAGCTCCACAATTGAGATCAAAGAGGGATAAAAGAATTCTATTTTCACCATGTGTAAAACAGGGGTAATACTTCTGTATTTGACAGCAGCATTATGGTATGACCACTAATGAGAAAAGGGTCAAAGTAACACATTGGTTTTAACTTAGGTTCATGAAGCATACCTCTAGCTGTCTGGGTTCTGGTCTGCAGGTTGCCCCTCCAAACCACCTCTTATAAGTAGCAACTCATAGCTCCATCAGAGCCTCCAACAGGGAGTCTCAGCCTGGCAGCACTGACAAAGCAATGGCCCTTCATTAAGAAATGCTGATAGGTAAAGGACATTGTTAACCTCAAAGTTTAAGAGTAAACATCAAAAAACATGGTTGTTGTGCTCCTGCCAGAACTTAACATTCCACATGCCTGGTAACAAAGACTTTATGACAGAGACTGGGAAAGTACACTCATACTGTGCAGTGTATGTATTGTGCAGCATAGCTGCCAGGAGGCTTTTGTTTGTGTGGATATTGTCTACAAAGTCAATGCAGATTTGTCATTTCTTAATAACAACTGTACAGCCACACTTCAAGCTTCATGACTCAAAGTAGCAGACACTGGGGTATAACAGATCTCCACATCTCACCTGCTGTGAGGTCTTCATAACTATTTCCAAATATTATGACCAGATTTAAAGATTAAGTGTATTTAAATAGTAACTACATACAGGCTGTACAACATGTAGACTGCCATATTTTCCTGTATTTCACATAGGAAAATAACTGGTATTTTGTTCGGTCTTCAGCTGTTAAAGTGGAAAAGACAGCTAAGAATGAGGTTCGTGTAAATACAGATTTTCACAGAGGTGAAACATAGTTTCTACTGAAATAAGGCTACAAAGCATTATAGCTGCATCCTCTTTAATTCACCACTTCAGAGCTGAAGGGATCATTACCAAATCATCAGCTGTCTGCTGATATTTTAAAAGTTTTTCTGTTGCTCATTCCACACCCCATATTATCATTATGGAGAGAAAAGGCTATTCCTGCAGCTCCGTCAATCTACTCGGCAGCACAGCTTCGAGTAACACATGAGTCACATACAGGTGATGAAAACTTCTTCAATTTCTGTTATACACTAGTCTGCATTCAGCATAACTACCTAATGGCAGAGTACTGACACTGACGCTAAACTGAGCTGATACATGGATGAACCATCTATTTTCTTTTGGCATACACAACTTTGAAGATTTAATTTATTCAATGAATCACTTAAATTCAGGTATTTCCCTTGACAGTTACAACATTTGTTGACATTGGTAATACTTAAAAGTTGTGGGTGGTTGGGTTTTTTTGGTTTTAAATATTCACTTTTCATTCTAATATTTTCAGTTTTAAATTGAACTAATTGCCTATTCCTCCAACATTAGTTTTTTAGACACCAATAAAGATTAGTCTTAAGACTTAAAAAGACTTTCCAAGAGTTAACTTCCCCATATTAAAATAAAATGAAAAAGAATACATAACTACAAAATTATAGAAAAACAAAAAAAAGAAAAAGGTTTATTTCCAGATATACAAAACACCTATTCTCTCATTTCTCCATCTTCTTCCTCTTCTTCCACACCTCTGATGTACAAGACGTTATTGCACCTGCAAACAGAAAGAAAGAATTCCCTTAACCATAAGTGTTTTAATTTTCCACCCCTTTATATAGATTACTTTAAGCACTTCCCTACTTGAGCGTAGCCTTGCAAAAGACAAATTCTGCATAACAAATTGCTGCTGTTGACCTTGTACAGCTTTCCACAGAGTTCATAACAACTGCAAAAGCATCAAGTTTATAAAAGCAGTAACTGGTTGACAATGCTGTACAAGAAATTTTTTACTCTTAGGTTAACAGTTCTGGTCAAGTTTAATTTCCAAGCACGCAAAATGCTTTGAGTAGGAAACCACTAATATACTCTACTAATGCCAAGAGATTAATAGATGTACAATAATCTGGAAAAGGTATTTAGTTACCTGGAAAAGAGGTTGTTAATACTGCTTCACAAATATTTCCAAATTCATGTTTACTCCCCTCACAGCCTTCACATAAGCGTTACGTTAATATTTAGCATGTTAGTTAGACAAGAACTGCAGCACCCAGTAATACAAGTTTTAATGCAAGTAATAGCAAGATTTACAGAAACCCTGCCTTTGCCATAAATATCCTCATTACCTTATCAAAACTTCACCCAGATGTCCAGACAACGCACCGTCTATATACTCCTCTGTGTTTGCAAGCTGGAGAAAGAAACCAGCAAGCCTCAGAATATTTCTAACAGAAACTTCTCAAAGCACACCGGGGTCTTCCCCGCAACCCGGCTAGAGCGAACGGCGGAGGCCGCGAGACTCCGCTCCCACCCGGCACAGAGCCCACCGACAAGGCACCGCTTAGAAGCGCCCCGCTTCGTCCGCCGCCCCCCGGGCCGAGGCCCAGCGCCACCGCCGGCCCGGGCGCGGCTCCTGCCCC